TTAGTTTGAAGTATCATAATATTTTCTGCAACATAAAAAATAGCCTAGGAATGGAGTTATCTCCTAAACTATTCATTCCATCATTGTTTATGACGGATATAGTTTATAATTTTGTTACCAAATTGTTTATTTGAGTTTTTGCCTCTTCGTTTAAGTCAATAGTTATTATGGAACCTAAATTGTCTATTTTAGATTCTATAAACTCAACTCAACTTTGGTTTTTAGATGATTTTGATTTATTTTTTGATTTAATCTAATTTAGAAAATTAAGAACACATAATATCCGGAATATTATTTAAATTAGAACACACACTATTTATATTTGTAGATTTTTTAGTAATATGCAAACTATGGTCATATTTATTATTAACATTATTTTTTGTATTTCTAAAGCATATTATTATATCTTCAGGATTAATTGTCATTATAGATTGTTGTTGGTACCTAAGACCCTCCTAGTGTATTTATCTAGTGCCTAAAACCTCTCTTTATAATCTTAAAGACTTAAAAATGCCTAATTAAGGCCAATAGTCAAAAGATCTTAATGAGTATATGGACTTTGATAAACACTAAGCATATAGGTTTTACAACAATTATAAATTAAACAAATAATTATGAAGATATAAAATCCATAATTAAAAAGTAAACTTCACGAATAATATTTTCTAAATTTATTTTTATTTTTATTTTTATACATCATTAAGCACACCTTACACACTTATATATATATATATATATATCAAAATTTATGCATACATAGAGATACTTATATAACTTGATCTTACTTTCAAAAGCTCTAACAAATGTAGTATACTCTCCATCTGTTTTGGACATTGGGTGCATAGTGACCACCTTCGTTACAAATATAACATTTACAAGTTTTCTTTTTTAAAACACTTGTTGATTTCCTTTTTCAAATATACTTTTTCTTTTTTGAAAATATTTTGCTCTTTTTCCAAAATTTCCATTTACATTTTCTGCGTTTTTTGAAAAATCCTTTTCGTTTAGAAAATGTATTACAATCCATTTTTCAATTTTCTTTCAAAATTTTATCACAACATTTTTGACCGTATTGTAAGTTAGAAATTTGATTTTTTATTTATTTTTTTACCTTTACTTCTAGACATCGATCTGCTATCAGTCTTAGAACATAATTAATGCGAAAATCAAGATTATCATATTCTTCATTCCCCATTTTTTTTGAGAAAATCAAGATAAATTGCTTCTCCTCCCAAAATGGTTTTGTTCACACTAACAAATTGTGACAAAACACAACTTGCATATCTGCAAGCAGCGTCAATCAAATAACCTTCAAAAGGTACTCCAAAAGTCAACGCAAAAGGTTGATCAATTCAAATAATTCAAAACAGCCAAGACATGAGGAAATTCTCCACAAGAATCGTAATTTTATTGACAGATATAACAAACTGTGCCACACCCTCAAAACCCACAAATCAATTTACAAAAGAAAACACAAACCCCCACCCACTGAATAAAAACAACTCGGTATTGGTAAACATACTGTAAAGCCGCGATTAAATTGGACTCAAAAGATCAACACTCCAGTCAACAATCATGCCTGTGTAAAAAAACATTAACCAAAAAAGATACCATTTATCTTCTTCCAGAGCAGATTCTGAGTTCACTCTATTCAAATGTATTCATTGAATTGAGACAAATTTCTGATCAAGCCGCTAGTACTATGATCACGATCAGAAGCACAATGCCAAATATCACCAAAAGCAAGCAGGCCTGTGTTGAAGACAAAGGTTAATTTATCATCCATGAAAATCATTATGGTAACAAATATTCAAGATGGAGTTAAAATAAAAGATCTATGTATATACAAGTACATATTTTCTAATCGGTAATTTGACTTAATCAATGGACAGCTGTAGCCAAACCTAAGAGAGTGTCCTATCGAGGTTTATTATTTGACGTCACGAACATTAACTTAAAAAGTATCCTCAATACTGGCCCACCAATAAAGCCAAACCTTAAGTAATGATAACAACTGCACTCCTTTGGTCACCTGAATACTAAATCTTGACAGATTGAAATGGTTTCCAGTTCAGACTACAGGTCTATTAAAGAAGTCCTACCAGAGCAATGCCCATGTTGAATGGTTTCTTGTGAAGTCAAAAGTATAAAGCCAATCCTGGAGAAGACTCTAACGTTACATTTCAAGTCCCACCTAACCACTACTGATAAAATGGCCAAAAGGGCCTACTAAATGGGTGGAAGTGACCCAACATGTTAATTCGATGATGATGGAAAACTTTACCATTGAACCTTCCAAACTTTACAGTTCTGATAAAAACTAACATGATAACACAGGTCAAATATAAGACTGTTTACGTGGTTCCTTCCGAAGTTAAGACTGCAAGAAATAGAGCCTCACAACTAATCGAATTTTTAGCAAACAACAGAATAGCAGTAGTGCTTATAAATTACCAGAGATGAATTTGATCTTTGGGTCTTTGCTGCTTTGGCAAGATGAGCTTTTCCCTGTGCAGTTGCGGCATGAGCACCATCAATGTTGGAGCCAATATCATCTGAAAGATAAATTTTCATGGCATTTAACAAATGAACCAGAAGTGATAAAATGAGTACATTCGAGGGCAAGAGCCTGACTTACCAATCATGGTTCCCTGTTCATGGACCAGCACAGCAAGGTCTTTAAAAATCTCATTCACCTCCCCAATTTGTTGCTGGATATCTTGTATTCCCTGATCTCTTTCTTCAATGATAGCCTCATTAAAGGAAATTTCATTGTCTAAGAGCAAAACCTCCTGTCTGTAGCACAAATTACTCAGAACTTAAGGGACCCTGATTTCACCAGGATACAAAACAAAGTATTTCAAAAGAAGATTTTGACTCATTCACAGAAACTGTTTATGTTGAGATCCCTGCCCAATTTTGATCAAATAAGAGGTGATGCAAAGAGCATTTAGCCAGTTTGAGCTTTACTCCTCTCTCGGATGGAAATGTTCCTTAATTAAATGGGTCTTTTCCGGAGAGGGAGGTTGGGAGGTTTGGTTCAGGTTAAGGCCTCTAGGTAAGCACAAACACTACTAAAAAGGCTGTGTACATGTATCTGATATTCGTCCAAACATGTCCTATTTTTTAATAATTGACAAATCCTAAAGAAGTTACTTGTAACAATAATAATAATTATTCACCCAAAAAAAAACAATAATAATAATAAATCCGATAGTAGGATTTGACAAGTACTAGTACATACTTCTCTTGACTTAAGTCTTTGGCCTCTATTTTTTCCCTCATCCATGTGCCAAGACCTCAAATGTGTTCTGTGTGTCAAACTGTCCAAGTGACAAACATTTGTTTCCCACATATGCCCAAAGCATGTTAATTTTGAAAATAATAAAAATAAAAAAATAATGAACATTTTGAAAGCCTGTCTGACATGCATTCTAAATGTTTCAAGGTTGTCTGAAAAATGCCAACGACCAGCATGTAATGGACACAGCCATGACGCCCCAAGTGGTGTGTCCATATACCCCACTCCTCTTCATAGAGCTCACTCTTTTATGGGATCCATGCATGTGAAACATCCATAGTAAATTATACATCAGACAAAAATAATATTTGCAACATTGAGATATTTGCAGCATTTTACTTCAACAAAGCCAACACATGTATCCATGTGCAGATATATTAATCATCTCCATATATACAACATAGAAAAAGAAAAAAAAAAAAAAAATTAATGTAACTCACCTTCTAGATTCAACAAGAAGAGCACGTTGTTCTGGACTCTTATCCGAAGTTACGCCAAGCTCGCTGGCCGTGTAGCTGTTCAAATAATATAATCAAATCCACAACATAAGCAATGTGGACAAATGGACATTTTCATTTCAAAGCATAAATATTAGCCTGTCTGTCTATATGGAAGATGAAATAATCACAAATGATGACCATGTAAACATCCAAAACATACTTTGTGCACGCAATCGATGAAGGAAATTTCAAAACTGTGTAAATGCAAATCCTCCAACAATAACTACCTCGAAGGAAGAACAGCTTGGGGAACAAAAGCAGTATATGCTGTCTCCCTTTCAGCTGCAAGACGCTGAGCCTTCTGGAACTCTTTCAAAACTGCTTGGAAGTCTTTAGCAAGTTTAGCATCTGTAATCTTCTTGTTGGCCTGCAGTTAAAGCGTGGTATTTAACAACGCCAAGAGAGAGAATCAGAAGAGGGTTTTGTTTGGGGTCCTTGCTCAGCCACTTATTTTTATTAATTTAGACATATTATGAAATTAACAGAATTAGTTCAATTGGCTCAACAGCACTTCCTTAGGCAACCACCCCCCCAAAAAAATGGATAAAAAAGAATCTCAAATGGAGGCACAAGAAAGTATGTTTATATTACAGAAATACAATACAAAACGTTTATGAACACGATTTTGGGAGAATGAGAAAGCAAGCTTCGTGAGAGAGAGAGAGAGAGCTCCAGTCCAATACAAACAGCAAGTTAACAGACAAACTTACACTAACTTCAACACGATGATCTGTTTCACTAGCTTGCTTAAGTTTAGCAGATGTGTCCTTCACCAATTGCCCAATATGTAACCTTGTTTTGTGCCTGCCAATTGAATGAACAAGGTATATGAATAAAAAGGAAAAGGTTGAAGGAAACCATAAAACAGCCAGTCACATAAAGAAAGTAATGAAGTCTCTAGGCATAATTATTTCTGGCTAATTTGATTTTTTAGTTTTTGAAGTTTGATGCTTTGAGAGTCTACCCTACAATAATTTCAGAAGTTTAACTAAAGCAACAAAAGAGTAAGAAATTACAAGTGAATTACAAAAATAATATGAAACAGCTGGTTGAAATCATCTGCTTAATTAGAAAATTTTTCAAATGAATTCTAAAAACTTTAAAAAATATAAACAATCTTGGTATTTGCTTGTTTAGTTTCAACCATGCAAACAACTGGAAATAGGTCAATGTATTTATTCATTAAGAAAAAATTCAACCAATTCAGGGATCAAATCAGTTTTCTATGTCCACAATGGAAAACCAACCAACTAAAGAATTGGCCTACAATACAAACCCCCTCCCTCAACTCAAGAGCCTGGAGTATCAACTCATAATAAATCACATAAATTAATAAAAGAATAGGAAACGGAAAGCCCCTAAACCAGGATAAGTCTCTGCAGCATTTCTAAGCATAGTTGCATGCAATATCCTTTTAAGTTCTACCACATTATAACCGGCTGCATTGAAGTGACCTTATCCCTAGGAGGAAGAAAATGTGTACCACCCTAGTAAACTCATTTGAGGTGTCAAACAAACTTCTCCATGGCGCCCTGAAGCATATTAACAAATCCAACCAAAAACCTCAATCAGACACCACACATTAGAAAGGAAGATTGATGACATTCGAACTTGATTGGGAACAAAGCAAATTTGAAGAGTTAGTTAAAATGAGACCTAACTTTGTAAATACGATGTGTGGGCTAAAGAGGTCATTTCATTGCCTACCACAAAAATGGAAGAGCGAGCAACTGAATCCCTCAGTAGTTCAATGTATGTGATAAGCAGTGCTAAACTTCAATGTAGTTTCCAAAGCCTCCTGTAATTTGTTCCAAAAGTGAGACATGAAGCGAGGGTCTCGATTAGACACGATTGAAACTGGAGTACCATGCAATCGAATGATTTCTTTCATGTATAGAGTGGTGAACTTAGTAAGGGAGTATATGATTCTGATTGGTAAGAAATGTACTGACTTCATTAATCGGTCTACTATAACCCATATCGCATCATTCTTTGAAACTGATCGTGGTAGCCCGACTACGAAGTCCATAGTAATGTGCTCCAATTTCTACTTAGGAATAGAGAGTAGTTGTAGCATTCCTGTAGGTCTTTGATGTTCTACTTTAACACGTTGACATTGTAAGCATTTGGAGACGTGGCTTGCTATGTCTTTTTTCATTCCTGTCCACCAGTAGTGTTCTCTCAGATTGTGATACATTTTGGTGTTGCCATGGTGGACTGCAAATCTTGAGCTATGAGCCTCCACCAATATGTTCTTCTTAAGCTCTGGTATGTCGGGTACGCAAATTTGATTTCAAAATTTTAGCACCCCATTGCTTATATTGAAGTCAAGATTAGGAGTAGTTTTCTACTCCTCGTACTTTTTCTTCAAAAGTTTGTCTTCACATTAGCGTGCTTTAATTTTTTCAATCAATGTGGGTTCCACAATTACGTTGGCGAGCAATCCATTGATCTTGTGGGAGACGAGGATACATGCCAAACTTCTAGTAGTCTTTTGACTCAATGTGTTTGCTACCACGTTAGCTTTGCCTGGATGGTGATGGATCTCTACATCGTAGTCCTTCATAAATTCTAGCCATCGACATTGTCTCATATTCAGTTCCTTCTGTGTAAATAGATATTTAAGACTCTGTGATCTGTGTAAATCTTGTAGGTTGCACCGTAAAGATGATGATGCCAGATCTTGAGGGCGAAGATTACTGCAGCCAATTCTAGATTGTGAGTTGGGTAGTTTTTCTCATGAGTCTTTAGTTGTCGCGAGGCATATGCAATGACTTTCCCAACTTTCCCATTTTGCATAAGAACGAAACCCAAACCATTGTATGAGGCATCGCTATAAATTATGAACCTATCAGTTCCTGTGGGGAGTGCCAATATAGGAGCTGTCACAAGCCTGTTTTTCAACTCCTGGAAACAACGTTCCTGCTTGTCAGTCCATTCAAAGGGTGTGTTCTTCTGAGTTAGCTGGGTCAAGGGTGATGCTATCTTCGAGAAATCTTGAACGCAGCGTCGGTAATAGCCGGCTAGGCCCAAGAAACTTTGAATCTCGGACGCGTTAGTAGGTTGTGGCCAATCCACGATTACTACAACTTTTTGGGGATCAACCGAGATGTCATTCTTATTAATGACATGACCGAGGAAGTATACAGTAGTGATCTAGAATTTACGTTTCTTCAACTTGGCATAAAGTTTGTGATCATGTAATGTTTGCAGCACTACTCGTAAGTGTCGCTCATGATCTTCTGGTGACTTGGAATATACGAGAATGTCGTCAATGAAGACGATGGCGAACTCAACAAGATATGGTTTGAATACTCGGTTCATGAGGTCCATGAAGGCCGCTGGAGCATTTGTGACGCCAAATGGCATGACAAAAAACTCGTAGTGCCCGCAACGTGTTTTGAAGGTCGTCTTCTCGATGCTTTTCGTTTTGACTTTTAGTTGATGATCGCCGGAACACAAGTCAATTTTGGAGAATACTTGGGCGCCTTGAAGTTGATCAAACAAGTCCTTGATTCTTGGCAAGGGGTATCGATTCTTGATTGTGATTTTGTTCAGCTCTCGGTAATCGATACATAATCTCATCGTGCCATCCTTTTTCTTTACGAATAGTACTGGAGCTCCCCATGACGAGGTACTTGGTCAAATGAAGCCTTTGTCCCAGAGTTCCTGGAGTTGGGTTTTTAGTTCCTTCAATTTCGTCAACAACATGCGGTAAGGAATTTTGGAGATTAGTTGTGTATTGGGTTGAGTGTTGATGGTGAATTTGATTTCTCGATCAACTAAGGTACCAGGTAAGTCTTCAGGGAAAACGTCAGGAAATTCTCGAACGACCGATATTGAATCGAGTGTTGGGTCTATTTGTTGAGCGTCGACCACATAACAAATACAACCACCACAACCCTTTTTCAAAAGTCGTCGGGCTATCTCGGAGGATATCAAATATGAAGGGGTAGAAACTCCAGTTCCTTCGAAAACCAGCTTGCGTTGGTCGGGTAACCGAAGAAAGACCTTTTTGGTCGTACAGTCGATAGAGGCATGGTTGGCAGCAAGCCAATCTATTCCTAAGATTATGTCGAAGCTACTAATGCGGAGTGGAATCAGATCTATATACAAGGTTTCATCTTTTAGGGATATAACACAGGACTTGTATATCTTTGTACTAAGCGTGGAGAAACCAGATGGAAAAGCCACAAATAATGCATATCCCAATGGTTCAGGTGTTGATGTTAACTTGGAAACAAAATGTGGTGTAACAAACGAATGAGTAGAACCAGAGTCAAAGAGAACATGAACTAAGTGACGACAGACAGAAAGTGTACCTGTCACAACGTTCTCCGTAGCATTGGAATTTCCGGGTACTAACGCAAAAGCTCTCCCTTGGCGCCTTTGTTCCTTCTTCCCTCTTGTGGCGGTTTATGGTTTTTGAGCTAGTTTAGAGGTACCCATCACAAAGTTTGTGAATTTTGGGCAGTCTTTCATCACATGGCAAACTTGGCCACATTTATAACCTGCTCCTATTGCCCGATAGCACTGTCCCCTATGAGCCTTTTTGCAACTCGGACAATTCGAAATGGTGCTACCCCTAGGAATAGTAAAACTTTGGTTGGCTGAACCAGTTGAGCTGGTAGATCCGGGATTTACTTTCTTTGGTGAGGCTGCTCTTGATCCTCCGACTGGTTCCCAAAATCGCTCATTTTAACCCATTTCACTTGAACGTGCGGTTTTAATTCCTTTTTCAGCAATATATGCTCGATCCACCACCTCTACATAGGTTGGTAGTTTCAGTACCTCAAGCTTATCTTTGATTTCCGCATTTGATCCTGCTTCAAATTTCCTTGCTTTTTCGGCTTTTGTCGGATAACATACGGTGCAAATCGTGCTAGTCGTGTGAACTTACTTTCGTATTCCGCCACCGACATTGTTCCTTGCCTCAAATGTAAGAACTCGGATGCCTTTTGCTCCCGTAGTGATTCTGGAAAATAATTTTCATAGAACACTTCTAGGAATCTTGCCCAAGTCACGATTTCTTCCTTTTCTAAGGTGAGGAGCCATCATTCTTGCGCATCTTCCTTGAAAGTGAAAGTGGCGAAGGATACTTTATGTTCTTCTGTGCAGGGTAGGGCATAAAAAATCATTTCCATTTATTTAACCCAAGCATTAGCTAGCAATGGATTTGAACCTCCTATGAACGTGGAAGGGTTCAAGCCTTGGAACTGTTTAATAGTAGTTGTCCCTTCTCGATGTTCTGGTGACCCATTGTTCTGCAAGGCTTGCAAGAAACTGGTAATATCTCTTTCCACAATCCTTTCCATTGGATCGGCTCCATTGGATGATGACCCGATACCATTTCGATCGTTAGCTATAGCTATAAAACAATTTTAATAAACGTGGTGCATGATTTCTATTAATTACCTAAATCAAAACATATTCACATAATTTACAAAACATAGACAATATATACATTATTCACAAAACACCAGTTTTATTTATGTGTAATGGTGTTGGTACAACACTTGTAGTTATATCAATTTTAGTGCCTAACCCTCGATGACAAAACATGTTAGAACTAGGTCATGGTCAGCTCACTTAGACACCAAACACAAGGAAAAGAAAAAACACAAAAACAACAAAAAAAAGAATTTTGTTATTAGGATCTTATGTTGAAAATAGTCTTGGGTACTGCAGTCGCATGTGATGCTCAAACTCCCAACCACTTTGCTCGATGCCAAAGCATTGCCATACCACCTCCACTCAGTATATGGGGATGCCTACCTCGTAACCCCACAATTGTCGTCCTGTGATACGCACAAGTACCTCCACATACGTCGTAATGCCACGAAAGCCAATCGTCTGAGTATCAATTAGGTTT